AAATTTTGGTCAAGTACTTCTCCTACTTTTCTATTAGTAGAGTCCTGTAAAGTATAGCTAAAGCCTGCATTTAATTTCGAAATTCTAGACTCAGTAATGTCAAAATAAGGTATGGGGATTGCCCAATTTTCATATAGGGTGTTTTTTTTTATTTGTCATTAAATGTAACATTATAATTTAAAGAAAATAATATTTTGTATTGGTCGTTAAATTAAAATATATCAAGTGAAATGTGATGTATAGATCACATTCTTTGTACTTTTAAGATGGCCGGACAAACTGAAGCACGAGCGATTTTATAAAGATTTATTTATCTTTTTTTGACATAGGTACCTAGCCCTAAAGAATATATTAAAAAAAACAAAAATGTGTGAGATGAAGTGGAAAGGTGTTCAGAACCGTTCCGTGACAGAAGTTTGTGTCATCCTCTCCAAGACCAAGTCAAATAAATCTTTATCCAAAAAAGCTCTATTTTAACACAGCTCTCAAATTATTTGTTCAATAATCATTATTTTAGTATAATGAATACATAATATATAAATAACTAATATTATAAAGAGGTAAAGTTGGTGAGTTTGTGACGTTGTAATTTGGTAAGATAGTTTGAGAATCTGGGAAGGACGGACATAGGATACTTTTTATCCTGGAAATCATTCCTTAAAATGGGGATAAAAGTTTGTATTGGGAATCAAGCTAGGGACGAACCCAAGCGAAGCGAGAGTGAGTCGCTGGTAATTTATATACATATGTATAACTATCCGAGGCCACTATTGTGAGATAAATTCGCAGAATAAAAACCTAATTACATATTATTATTACTTTATTGTTCGCAAAAACAATTTTAACAAGTGAGCCACGATACGACCTCTGCACAAGTATTGTTATCCTTCGTTGATTCATATTTTTAATAATATATGCATTAAAAATTGTTTGTTTATCATTGTCACTATTTTAATAGCAGATAATACCTATCTATCCAGATATTTTTTAAAGTTATAATTCAATTGAAATGTTTATTTAATCCTGTGCATTGAGAATGATTTCGCCAATTTTGCGGTTGAATGGAAGGGTGGCGTTGGATATTCTCTGGTGATATTTAAAATTAAATCTCTTAAGTACTGAATTAACTGTATTAAATAGATGGATTTTATTTTTACACCTTGACCTAAAAGAAACCAAAATTCCGTAGTCCATCACGAAAAACAGATGTAATTTTTATAAAAGGAAACTCTATTTTAATGAAATGTTACACGCCTTTTCCTAGTGCATAACACAAGTCACTTCATAACACGTTCAATTACATATCATGAGTTGACCAAACTAGTAATTACAACGGTCAGTATCTACTTTAATTTACGTTTACGTTTAATTATTACATTTTTATCGTTTAAACGCTAAGAAATTATAAATATAAAATTAAATAAATTATAAATATATAAATTATTTTGTTAGCATTATTTATTTTAATTAAATTTTACTTAAAGAATTAAGTAAGTATCCTCATGATATTACGCCATGTTAATGGCAAAATATTGATATATTAAAAAAAATCACACAATATTCATAGTTAATCGACAAGCTGATACACAGCTATCAGATTTTGCTATAAATGCACAATAAAAAAGTAGAATAAACTGTATTTTTTTATTGAAATAATACTGATTCACAGTTTAGATAGGTATAACTGTAATGAGGAAACGCCAAAAATCATCTGGTAATTGGAACTATCCACTAATATTGAAACACGACCAATTTATCTTCATACTTCGCCTGCGTTAGCTTTGGTTAACACACGTGTTTGTTACATTCGTTCGTTATTGTTAAAATGCTTTGTGATTATAGTTGTAATATCTGTAAATTAGGTTTTTACTAACTCGGTGTTAGGTATTGGTAAGTTTTGTGTGCTGTGTTTTTGTTTTTGTATATAATTATTGGTAAAAATGGAACCTGATCCCCCGCCGGATCCTCCGGATCCTGGTGGCTTATTAGTGCCTGTCGTTACCCCGTCCCGTAAACGTCAAAGTGATGAAATCACAATCGACTCATCTAAAAAAACGATAGTTGATCCAGAGACAGCTACTCCATCTATCCAACATGTGTATGTGCACCCTTCCCTATCTGGTCCTAAATCCTATTCTGAAGACGACAAGGGTCCCTTTATTGTTTATGTTTCTCGAGAGACTCCAGACCCTGCAGCTGGTACTACTATGCGTGCAATTAAATTCGGCCAGTTTTTATATCACAATAAAGTACAAAATATTGTAAATGATGGCGTTAAAAATTTAGGCCGTAATAAAATTGAAATTCAGTTCTCTTCAGCATTAGCAGCAAATAGTTTTATAGCCAATCCTATTTTAAATTTATCCAAATACGTTGCTGTAATTCCAACATTCAATGTAACTAGAATGGGTTTGGTCAAAGGAGTTCCCGTAGGCTGGGCAATGGAGGAATTTGTATCCTCTTTGGAATTCCCTTCTGGTTGCGGGCAAGTTCTGAAAGCCAGAAGATTGAACCGTAAGACAGTGAATGATGGTATTGTTACTTGGATTCCAACACAATCGGTTGTTCTAACTTTCCGTGGTCAAGTATTGCCTCCAAAAGTATACTCTTACCATACCTCTTTACCTGTCGAAACCTATAATCTCCCTGCTATTCAGTGTATGAATTGTTGTCGTTTTGGCCACATCAAAGCACAGTGTAGGTCTAAGCCGAGATGTTACAGGTGTTCCCAACCACATACTGGGGATGCGTGTGATATTTCTAAAGAAAACTCCACATGCTTATATTGTTCTGCAAAGCATTTTGCGGTTGATAAGGAATGTCCTGAGTTTGTTAGGCAACAAAATATTAAAAGTTTAATGTCGCAAGACAATATATCATATATGGAAGCTTCCTCTCGATTCCCCCCTGTAAGGAGGTCATATGCAGATATGGCCAAGGAAATGTTTTCCTCCCCTGCTTTATCTATCTCACTATCCAGCTCTAGTAATCCCCTGACTCCTGTCAGGAAATCATATTCAAAAACCGTTTTCCGTTCCCCTCGTCTCCGTGCTCCTCTTTCCAAAGGGTTTGATAGACAAGCTCATCAAGCCATCACTAGCAATTGTCCTTCTACCTTACCAAATGGCTGTGCTCTCAGCAATAAAGGCGAGGTCGCTTATGATTTTTCTAAATCAAACCTTTTATTCAGTTTGACTGAAACTCTTGTTTCAATTATATCCGCTGGTGATGAAATTCCCTTACCGTGCAACGTTGCCCAAAACTTACTTCGTATATTTAATATTCTTAAAAATGGCCCCACTCAACTTCCTTCAGTGGAATAGTAAAAGTATTCGCTCTAAAAAACATGAACTACTTTCTATTATTGCCCTTTATAAGCCTGTCATTATTGCCCTCTCTGAAACATGGTTGATTCCTGGTTCCCGTTTCAGGATCTCGGGTTTTGCCTGTTTGAGAGATGACAGAAGTGACGGGTATGGGGGCAGTGCCATTCTTATTCGGCACTCCACTCCTTATTCTTTAATCGCTCTCCCTTCTTTTAGTCCGCAGATTAACGCTGTGGCTGTAAGAGTTTTTGATATTTCCTTTCTGTCCCTCTATATCCCTTATCCTTCTTCTTCTCTTTTTCTTGAGCTACAGTCTATCATCTCTTCACTTCCCAGTCCTGTTCTAGTCATGGGTGATATTAATACTCACCACACTTTGTGGGGGTGTTGTTTCTGTGATGGATTCTCTCCTTTGATGGTGGACATGATTGATGATCTCAATCTTTGTATTTTGAATGATGGTTCACCAACCCGTAGAGTATATCCTAACCAAAATCCTAAGACTGCAGTAGATCTATCACTATCTTCTCCATCTATTTCTTCATTACTATCGTGGAATATTCTACCTTCTTCCCATGGTAGTGACCACTTTCCTATTCTACTCTCTTTTAATAATGGAAATCCTCCTCCCCCTCCTTCCAAACCCTTGCTTTCATATAATTTAAAAAAAGCTAATTAGCGATTATGCTTGCTCTGTTGATAACATGTTGGACTCCCTTCCTGAGTCTGTAAGTGATGAGAATATCATTGCTTGCTATGATCGATTCCTTTTAGCTATTTCTTCAAGCGCTGACCTCTTTATTCCTAAGAAATTACCCACACAGAATCAGTTGCCTTTCAATCCCTGGTGGGATCAGGAATGCAGTGATTTTGTTAACCGGCGAACACTTGCCGAATTAACATACGCAGCCTGTATGACAATGGAGAACTTTCTAGAGTATCAACGCAGTGATGCAAAGTTTCGAAGATTGGCTTATAAAAAGAAAAAACTTGGTTTGATCATTTGAATTTCTACTAAACATTTTACTACATGTCATCGTTGCTGTACAAACACACAGACAAAAAAATGATTGTTTCTTACGCTTGGGTATCATTCGAACAACCTTATCCAAATATAAAAAAATATTCTGATCTAATATAGTATTAGATCATTAATACATATTTACTAACGGATTTACATATATTATTTACCTTTAAATTATTATTTTTTCAGTTATTATTATATTATATTTTTGGTAATTTTAAAGTCAATATTTTAGTGTGTAAATATAAAATTGACATAAGTCTATTTATAAGATTGTTTTTTGTAAACTACATAAAAAAGAACACAGTCTATAATTAATAATCGTTTAAGCAGCAAACTATTATAAAGCTAATAACAATATAATTGACGAATTAATTTAATTGAACCAAAATTACTATTAGACATTTTTCATTATTTGAAACGTTCTGAATAGTTAAATTTTCTAGTCTATTAGTCTAGTAGTCGTGTTTTAATGTACTCGTAGCATTGAATATCATACATCACAGTTCCTCGTCATTTTGGGTTCACGTTTCATATACAAATTGACATTGTGGCATAACAAATAAATAAATAAATAAATAAACATTTATATTATGTGGACCTGTTGATGACCTTACAAGTGCAGGAGCGGAGTAAGGTCGCCAGTTGCGATGCCATCGCCGGGTATACAACACGCGAGTGATAGTGAGGTGCACGTTATCGATATAGAGACAGATACTGAAACACCAGTGATCCAGATTGTAAAGGACAACACTATGAACGGAAACGGTTGGGTTTTTTTTTAATTATTCTTCCTAAAAAGCCAGCTTTAAATGTTCAATTTATGGAAATCTATTATTTTTTTTATTTATTGCAAGCAATAAATGTTTTTGCGAGCGTTGTTGTTTGGGTCATTGGGAGTACCTATACTAGTACATATGCATTGATATTTTAATAACCAATCTACGTGGATAGGCACTATAATACAAAGACAATATATTTATATACATATATTTCGTAAGTATTACTGAATTTTATTTTTCCACGTAACATTGACCGTGTCATGTTTCGGGTTAATGTAAATCGATTACATTAAATAATACAAACTAGGTATTACGAAAAGTTAATATAATTAAACTTAATATAAAACCCAAAAAAAGGTTAAATTAAATTATATTTTTGTGCTTTTTAAAATCTTTGGGAGGTAGATACGTCAATCCGTTCTTACTACCTTGTATTTGTAGTAATAAAAATACTACTAACACAAGGGTAACTTTGAAATAATGAGGTACAAAGCTTTAGAGGGTAAGTTTAGTACCTATTTTAAGCAAAGGAAATTTAGGATTATATTATTTAATATCAAATTGCAATAAAAAAAAACAAATTACTTTTACGAATTTAATATAATATAATCTTATCATTTTTTTTTTTTACTTTTCACCAATAGAACTTTCTTCTTTATATTTTCGTACTGCTACACTCGCGCTTATTTCCAGTTGAACATAATTTAAGTGAGTGTATTTATATTATTCTAATTTTATTTGGCTATAAATTTATCCTTACTGTGAAAAAGTCCATGGAGGAGAACCTTAGAAGGGTGTTAATCTCGTGGAACCATGTCCAAGCTAGCTAATGTAGCTAATAATAGAGGGGTATAGAAAACTTCTGCCGCAACCCTAAGTTCCACGAAAGAATAATAGGACAACATCTTATTATAACTTGATTATAATCTAATTTTTAAACTAGTATCTACTTTATGCTTAACAAATGGATGGAAACTTACCAATTGCAACATTGTTTATTAATGAACGAATATTATACCTATTAAGTAGATATAGTAAGAAATAAACGTGACTTTCGAATATTTTAAGAATTTTACCTTGACTTTTAATTTTAATAGTAAGCTAATAATAATGAAGATTTAGCAAATTCGCCATTGTAGTGCATTTAAAGAGTTTGTTTCCATTTAATATCTAAAGAAATTGAAAATTACAATCTATCAGAACAGCTTATTTAAAAAAAACTGATGTATACCTTGCTGCATTCTTTTGAATATTCTTTAGTATATTTAAATTGCTTTAGGTAGATTTTTTTCATATCATCAATTCCTAATTATTGTCAATCTATCTTCATAATGTCATCCACGTCTATTCGACGAGTCATTGTCGAAGTAAATTGTGCTTAACGGAAAAAAAATTATAATATTTATACAATTAATTACGGTGGTATAATATCACAATGTGTTGAGTACAAGTATAATTTTAAACATCTATATGTATATAATAAAATTCTTATGGAGCTGAATCTGTACATGAAATATTTTTTGGAAAATCTTATTGAAATAGACATTATTATCAATACAGGGGCCGAATCTAGTTTTTAGAAATTTTGTCTGTCTGTCTGTCTGTTACCGCTTCACGGAAAAACCACTAGAGGGATTTTGATGAAACTTGGTATGATGATAACTGGTTATCCGGTTCAACATATAGGATACATTTTACCGCGGGAAAATATCTCATTTCTAAGAAAAATACAAAAACTGCCATGTAAGAGTATACTAATATGTAAAACCTAAGAATTTGGTTTTTGGTCATCTGAACGCGGGCGTAGCCGCGGGCAATGCTAGTCTATAAATATAATACCGATTTACAATCCCAAATTATTTAAATACACAAAACTTTGTAATTTTTTTTCTTATTTAAGATGGGCTGACGTAGGTACCTCTATCATAAACATGTCCGTTTTCACCTTTTGTTTTATTCAGTTAGATAGAGGTCTTAAAAATCACGCTTATGCTATAATTATTAAATCTACGTATTTATTTGTAAAGTAAATAAAAAACTCTATACACGTTACACTCACAGATACGCACCAGCACCAGACATTTGCGTTGTTTTATAAAAAAAAATATATAAGGAAAAACATTAACGTACAAAGTTACAGGGTCATTAGCTAAATACATATCACTTTGAGAACTGGTTAGAAAAATGTTACTCTAAAATCTCAGCGAGTCAAATACTTCCATGATTAATGCTGGCATTGAAGGTTGGCAATGTTTGCTTCCTGAAAGTGTAAACATTGTTATTAGCGTGTGAATTTTAACTTTGGCGAGCTATGACGTGATTATATTTGTTATCTATACTTAATATTATAAAGAGGCAGTTTGTTTGTTTGATACGCGTTGATCTCGGGAACTACTAATCCGATTTGAAAAAATCTTTTTGCGTTAGATAGCCCGTTTATTGAAGAAGGTTATAGGCTATATATCAAAAATATATAGTCTATCTATTCCATACTAACCGTTAAAACTTACCTGGGAACGAGGTCGAGGGAAGCGAGGGTGAGTCGTTATTAGATCTAATATGCCAATTCTATCAAAAATATGAGGGCACTGTAGATCGCCTTTCTCGAGAAAAAAATATATACTACATATCGGTAGATTATTTTTTAATAATCAAATTTGGTACAAATATCAGTTTTACAAAAATGGTTTAAAAGTAAAAAATAAATTGTGTACAGTGACCGTGACCATACGCATAGTTAATATTATAATGTAAATTTTATCGGTATTTAACTAGTTTTGCACAGCCAAAATTACGTTGTGTATATACAAATTATTATACAACAAGGTTATGCAATAGTTTTTAGTTAAAAGAAATAAAAAAAAACAGTTTCGAAGAAAATAGGAAACTAAACTTTAAATTACACAAGAATACCAAGTAGGGCTCTCGAAACTACTTTTTACTCGTGTTCTTTAATATCTTAGAAAAAGAATTACTTAATAACTAAACTTCGTGATCTCCTTTAAAAGTCATCACCTAGAGATTGATCGCGGTCGTCAGCTGCTCCTAATGTCTGCATCACTTTTAATGTAATTTTAACGAGGTGGATATATGAAGTTCATTTAAAAAGATAAAAGTTAATATCATATTGTTATTAGAGTTTTACAAACTATGTTATCTAAACATTGTATGGAATTGGTCAAATTCTTTTTTATTTATTCGTCAAAAATGAATAATGAAAGTATTAGATGATTTTTTTAAAGATTTACCACAGTCTTATTTGACCAAAATAAGAAAAACAATATTGTTAAATTTATTTTCGCTATATTACATTGTTATTATATTTCTTATTATCTTCAACCGACTTCAAAAAGGAGGAGGTTCTCAATTTTTATATATCTAAATATGGATAAAATATTTCGGTGGCCCTAACCGTTTGTAACAAAATACCAAGATATAAGATACACAACCCATAAAATGCCAATGGAGCCATCTATTATAATTAATTAATACGCAGTACACATTATTACATCAACCGTTAGCCGATTTTTCAATCATCGCGTTCGGTATTATTTTAAAAATATTAAAATTTGATTTAAGAACCCGTCGTTTCATATTTTATGGATTCTTTTTAAAATGAGAATATAAATCAAAGGATTTTATTTCTTTTAATAACGTAATAAACAGCAATAATAAATACATCCGTTGTAAACGCATTCAATCAATAAATTCAAACACTACAGGGATTCTATAAGTATATTAAAAAAAAATATGTTATGAATATTATCAGTATAGTTATAGTAGATAATAATTTCTTACAATAATAATAATTTACTGTTTAATTAAAAAATTAAAAACCATTCCAAGAAGTCATTTTTTGAAGTTGCTTAAAAAGAAATAACAGGAAAGTGAAAATAGACTTTAATTCAATAAGCATCAAATAACATCGATAAAATAATATCGACGTTAAAACATCTGTACATCTATATCTATATATATAATAAAATTGTAACTAAGTCGAATCTGTACATAAAATATTTTTTGGAAAATCTAATTGAAATAGACTTTATTATCGATACAGAGTCCGAATCTATAGTTTTTAGATTTTTTGTCTATCTGTCTATCTGTCTGTCCGTCTAACCCACCACATAAAAAAACCACTGGACAGATTTTAATGAAATTTGGTATGATGAAAGCTGGTTATCCGGGTCAACATATAGGATACTCTTTACCGCGGGAAAATATCTCGTTTCTGAGAAAAAATACAAAAACTGCAATGTAAGAGTATACTAATATGTAAGACCTAAGAATTTGCTTTTTCTTCATCTGAACGCGGGCGGAGACGCGGGCATAATAGTACTTTATAAGTCAAGACTCGAGATGAAATCTTCGGTTCAATACTTTTTCTTTCTGTCTAAATCAAAATAAAAACATGGCCAATGCAATTTAAAGTTACACAAGAGCTATTCAATTATAAGTTACGATAGTGTGTAGTAAAATGTTTTATAATTTGTATAATTTGAGTGTATTTTTAACTTTCACTAAACCTTATTACCGCATTAGATAATAATCGTCCAAAAATATAATAATAAATAATAATACGTAGGTACCTTTTATGGTATATTTATTAAACCTGGCTGACTCATAATATATTAGTATTCTGGTGTGATGTTTTATGTGATAAATAATCATTGTTGATATCAAACGATTTGACCACACCACTGCATAGATCGAAAACATTTGAAAAGGAAGGATAGAAATGAAACGGGGTAATGAGTAACTTACGTATTACTTTTTAAAAGCAAGTTATATTAAAAAATCTATTTTTGTATATTACATATATTTATGTATTAAATAAAATTAAAATAATATATTCAACAACGATTATCGATTAAAACATCGGTCGATCACTTACAGTAAAATATGTATTTAATAACATTTACAAGTAGTTGCGACATTTAAAATACATTTAAAAGTCAATGATTCTGTATTTAGAATACTTTCGGT